AAAAAAAATTAAAAAAAAAAAAAATTGTATTATTTCGATTAGTGAAGAGTGCTCCGAACATTCCGGTTCCATGTTTATAGACTGTTTGTAGACTAGGATCTTTCATAAAACTGCGTTGCATTCTTTCCAGTGTAAGCTACGTGTGGACAATAGATTTCTGTCTAACGAATAACAGCGTAATTGATTCCAAGAAGGGAACCTTGGGAACTTTTCGCTTCGTAATTCTCTTGTACTACAGTTTGCAAGTTATAATTTTGACAAATGAATAACTGTAGTTCTTTTTTTTTTAGGAAAACATGCATTTATATTTGAGTGAGATGCTTATTGCTGCCATGGAACAGATGCAGTGGCGTGCAATTGTTGAATCCCAACAGAATTTTATTGCGCGAGCCAAAAATGTTAGGGTTTGGTGATGTTAGATTAACGAGGATTTTCGATTAATCTCTTCGCTTACTTTTATGCTAAAGTACTGACTTTAATTATTTCATTTTTAACTTACAATGTTTTAAAATTATATATACATATACTAAGCATTATCTGCTCGATATACTGCAGTTGGAGGCAGTATTTCTTGAGACGTATAATTTGATATAATTGACAGTTGTTACATGATGGCTTACTAGATTGTATTTAATCTTCATAGTAAGGCTTATCTGTTCAGTTCACTATCACTGTCCTTGAACGTAAAGTTAGATTGAATGATAATATTGCGACAAGTGTTGAAATTTTTAGACGAGTTCCTGTCCTACATTGGCGGTATCTTCTTCAGAGTCGGTTTATGACGGTTCTTCTGAACAAATAGAAGAAAAAACATTGCTGGTTCGTCCGTGTTCTGTGCTTCTGCTGAAGATTTACGATTTAGCGAGGATAAAAAAAGGTAGGTGGAAGACGTAACAGTATTCATTCTACGGATTTCTTGTTGCAGAACAATGGAATGTTTCTTCCAAGACAGTTTCGTAGCTTGATGAAAATCTTTTTAGAAAAAATGAATTTTAAACAATTATTTTACGGAATTTCGTGTAGGTCCAGCAGAAATAATGAAGCTGACGATGACAATATTTGTGAAAATTCGGCTGAAGCAGTTGCATCCTCACTATTCAAGCAATTTTCGATGGCTTACAAACCGCGCTCAGCTGCTGACATACAGTGGCTTGTTTCTTATGCACAAGCACCTCAAAAAGTACTCTCTTTTTCCGTGTTTTTCATATATACTTCGCATAATTCTAAAGTAGTTCCACTTCTTTCTTTTTTTTTCTTTAGCTCCTTCCAATGCCAGATAGTATAGCGGTGTTTTTCGATGAAGTCGGTAGCGATGGTCGGCCAATTTTCTTTCGTGGTTCAGAGAATTGGGCGCCTCCGAGAAAGCAGTGGATTTTTCGGCTTCATCCAGAATTTCAAAGGTTTCATGTTAAAAATTGATTAGCTACAATCTTATAAGCGGGAATCACATTAGATGTTGTGATGAATTTATCTGCAATTGAATTTACTTTACTAGATTCGAAAGAGCAAAATTTAACGAATTTAGTTATATCTGTAAGATCATTGATAATATGTGCTGGTCAAGTTTGTTGTATAGTTTTATGAATTTTGATAAATTTTTCCGAAGCAGTTTTGGGTGAATGGCTACATCTTTTCAGTGATGACTACTTCAAATTTTTTAGATTCGAAGGAATGCTCATTATTTTCTCGAAGTCGAAGTGGATGTTTCTTGTTGCTGTTGTTGATTTGTAATTGTAATTCATTTTTGCCAGCTTTCAGTGTGAGAAAGCTTCTTGAACAGCAACAATATCGTTGTGGTGGATGTGGTATTAAAGTTGCTAAAGTGTATTGTCGTCGAATGCGTTATTGCGATTACTATGGCCGAGTATTTTGTCAGCGGTGCCATCAAGGTGCAAGAAGTCGTATACCAGCACGCATTGTATATCAATGGAATTTTAAGTATGTTTGTTTACTAGTTATTTAAAAATTGTCAGGGGAATAAATAGGATTAAACATTGAACTATGTAAGCTATAATCAGAGTGGTTCTTAGCATAAGTCAAGCTATTTGTGTTAACAGTAGATTGCCTTTTGCAGAGAATATCCTGTTTCCGATGTAGCACATCGTTTCTTATTAGATAACCGTCGACAACCGGTGATCAACGCATCAGCGATTGATTCTCGTTTTTACAACAGAGTCCGTCGGTTAAAAAAAATTAGGGAAGTACGAATAAAACTTGTACATATTTGGTCTTACATACGGCTTTGTAATATTGCTAAAGAAACGATTACAAAATATGGGAAGTAAGTGTTAATATTCCTCCATTTACAGTGCTCTAATAATTTTAAAGTTGCTCGCAAAATTTAAAGGTTTCAACAAAGCAGTTTGCGAATCAGTTTTAATACAAATGTTGATATGTTATCTTCTAAACAACAGTTGGTTTTTTTTTTTTCTTGTGAGTGCATGCCGCAGACTGTCTTGGAAATACTAGGGATGTTATTGTATCAGAACCATTACTGCTGTGCATACCAGAAAAAGTTAGTTTTTTTTTTTCAGTTTATATGGTACATTTTCGACAGTACCAAACTATATGTTGTCAGATGCAGATGTTTACTCGGTAGAAGATCTAGAAAATGTACGAAAAGGAGAACTTTTTCGAATCATCGCTCCTCTTGTGCAATACGGACAATATCACATTGAAGGATGCCAGGTTAACTACATCGTTTTTACATCATTCATTTTTGTTGGTGTCATTTAATTTGTATTGAAAAATTCTCACAATTTTAGCATTGCCGTGCTCAAGCATTCGTTTGTGAACTATGTGATCGAAAGGATGATTTGTTATTTCCATTTCAAGTTGAATATGTGAATCGATGCGAGGAATGCGGTTCATTAAGTCATAAGAAGTGTGCTGCTAGAAGACAGAAAGACGAAAAACCATGTCCTAAGTGTTTGCGAATTGAGCAAAACCTGTAAGTTTATTTTCCTATTACAGCCAGGTTAATATTAAAAAAATGTGGTAACTAATCGGGCTGTTCCTTTTTATTGCGCAAATTATCAATAGCTAAATGTTTTCTAAATATTTGCTTGAACTTGCGTTATAGCTGTTTGTAATGTACGTCGCGATCAGTGCACTGCTTAAAAACTTTACAAACTTCGAATCGTTGGAAGTTCTTAAAATTTTTGCGTAATTTTTCTTATAAAATATAATACTGTGCATTCAATGATATGTTTGCGCCTAATTTTAAGTGAAAGACATCGGTGTTATTCGGAATGGTCTTTAGTACCAACTGAACAGCAAGATTCAACGACGCCATCGTTGGATGATTAGTGCAAATGCTATGATCTAACGAAAATTACTTATACTGAGATATATAAATTTGTTTCCATCTTTAGATTAGTGTTACCTTCCTGATTCCTTTTTAAATGTTTTGGAAGTGTTATTAAATTTTCACAAATTACATTCTTGACTGATTTTGAAGGAACTGTTCATTTTTACTTCCTTTGCAGAAAGGAGGATACAATCTCATCTAATTTGGTTCTCTTTCATGTCTTTAGGTTTTACTGCGGGTATTTAATGAAAATGACATTTTATATTTGGAAAAAAAAAAACTATTATACACAAGAATTCGCTCGAACTTTATGGTACTGTGATATATTTTAGTTTATGTCGCGTCAGAAGATTTTCATTATCTTTCATGGTGTTACATAAATAGGCTCATGGTAAATATAAACAGCAAATATGTTTTGATGCTATTTGTGTTGATTTTTTACTTATGAGTTTTGGAATGTTTTTCTTCTATTGTGATTTACGAATTCTTTCCGCATGGTCGATCCTTTATCTAAATAGTATGATTGGCAGCATTGCGGAGTATATATTATATATGTATGGGATTTATGATTTCTTGCCTTTTAATAAGACTTTTTTTTACAAATGGTTTATGCTCAGAAATGTGCGAATTCTATATTCAATTTTGGGATATTATTAGTATGTAAGTAAACAGTTCAATTGTATAATACAGCTTTATTAACACATTTCAATTCATCAGCTTAATTTGATTCATCATCGGGGATTTCGGTATTCCCGGTTTTATTTTATTCATCACTTCTCATGTCAAATAGTTATCATGGTTTTCATTAGTATGCTTCTGCAATAATTAAAATGGGTTAAAATAATTAAAATATTGAACGTTACAAACAGATTTTTGTAGATTTGTACATTATTCATAAACTGTTAACAATTTAATCAGCTGCAATCTTGTTTTTCTTCGATTGAAAAACGAATGCATGAGTAAGGAGGATATGAAAGTGAAAGAGGATTTCCAGTTCCTGTATGCCAGCCATTATCACTGCATTCTTTTGTGGATAAATAATAAGGAGTAAGTGTTCAGATCCTAATGAATTTGAAGAACAAAAAACCCTAGTCTGTAAACCAACAATTGCTTATTTACAAAAGTTTTGTTTCGGTTAATGATAACTGAGGAACTTGAAAATATTTTATTATCCTTGATTTAACATAAAACTAGATTCCTAAAAATGAATTCAATCCTAAGATTTCAGAGCTAGATTCTATGAATGCAAATCTAAAACCTTCTTTATGGAATCATTACATGAAAAGAATGGTAGAGTGGTTAAAAATTACAAAGTCAATTTGCGCTCATAAAATAATAACGTAAGTTTTGTACAGAACTTTATGATATAATTAAATAGATAAGGAAAAGGGAGTAAGTCGTTATCACTATCATCCAATAAAAGTTATTCCAATCAATTTATCAGGAGTTAGTTATGTTTTCAGATGCGTCATCTCCGTTAAAGTTTAATTTCCATATTTATGTCCAAATTTTCTTTTTACTTTTGATTATATTCTAATAATTATCATCAAGGATATAATACAAACATGTTATATTATTGATAAAGAAAAAAGTAAGTAAATGTTAGTATTAATAAAAATTTGGAAAAATAAAAATAAAAGAATTTAAAAATAGAAGAATTAAGTGTGGTGTGAAATATTACTTTATTTACCTGTTATTACTTTGCTATCTGGTATTATTTTGTTGTTTGCTACTGCTATATTACCTAGCATTCGTTACCTAGCACTACTATGTTAACTAGCATTACTGTGTTACTTGGCATTATTTTATTGCCTGGCATTACTGTGTTACCTAGCATTACTATTAGCTAGCATTATTCTGTTACCTAGCATTACTGGTTTGCCTAACATTACTGTATTATTTAGCTTACTTCTTCTTCAATTTCTGTTTTTATAGGATAAACTTGAGTTAACTGAAATAATAGCTGCAACTTTATACGTTAATAAGTTTAATTTACATGTTGATAATGTGAAGCTTTTATAAATCCAATTGCAATACTAAACGAATAATTGCAAATGATTTATTTATTTCATTTTCATTCTATTAATTTCTTTTTTAAAAAAAAAAAAGACTATTCATGAAATGCATAAATGTGATTACGAATTCATATTCTTCAACATTACATAACTTTCACTCTCAAAAGGAAATGGAAGAAAAAAGGAAAGTAATTTAATGACTTCATCAATTTGATAAATTTCTCTTACTTTTATGCTTCTCAAATTGTTATTTTGTGAAAAATTTTTATTTCACATAATTAAAGTATATTGCAAAAATTAATAGTAATTAATAATAGCCAAATAATGTAGCACTTTCCATTTTTGAATAATTTTTGGCTTTGTTTTTTTGTTTTTCGTTTTTTTTTCCTTTTTTTTATGATCATTTAACACTGATAACTATTTCATCAATCTTAATTATTTTGGCAATTAAACGCTTGAATGACATTATCAATCGTTGAAAAAATCAAGTAAATAAAACTTTTCTGAAAAAATAAAAGCAAAAAGTTTTACGTATTTTATGAATTATACAATATCTAAATTGTGCTTTTACTTGTGTTTCATATCTAAACAATAAATTCAAATTCATTCTTTATCAGATGAGATATGAGCAATATTGCTATTGATGATAAGCATTAAAGTGAACGTTGAAATGATTAGGTTGATTAAAAAAAGAAAAAAATAAAATTACATCAATAATTTATCAGTAATATCATCATTTTTTTTTAGTTTTTGGTCTTAACAGTGCTATTTTTATCGGCCAAAAATTAATGATAAATGTTTATCATTTGTCATCCATTCCATTTATATTCATGATATGTTTTTAATATTTTTTAAACATTTTTTTTATTTTTCCAATTACTATTTTTGGTTGATTTAAAAATTAAAAAAAAAAAAACGAAGAAATTTTTGTATCTTTTCTTTACTATCATAGAGGTTTGTCTTTTGTTTTCTTTTCTCTTTTTCT